ACCACCTTGGAGTACCACCTTATCGATTATTTGGATTAGTATAGTTTGTTAAATTAGTTAGTTTAGTAGCTAGTTTAAATTATTATTATAGTTTAAGGCCCGTATTACCCAAATTCTTCCAATCCCAGATTAATTTAGTCCTTCTCAGTTGGTGGTGACTGTGAGATACTTACTTCAAAACACAACCACCGTATTTGATACAAATTTACTTACTATCAAAAAAAAAGAACTAAATATCAGATTTGGACCACTTTGAGGATAACAGGACAATAGATGGAGAACCTGAGCACCCGCCAACTTATTAAAACCAAAACATGAATCCTGCTCATGCTATTTTAAGAGAAATAGCTCAAGCTTTTAGGAATGTTGCCGTTCATGACGTTCCACTCAACCCCAGAGAAAATAATTGGGTACATGTGAAGACTTTCAAAGGCGAAGAGGATGAAGACCCAGTTGAATAGATCGAAGCGTTTGAAAGGGCCGCAGATACAAATAATTGGTCCCAGGCAAGAAAAATTAAAATAGTATCAGGACATTTAGCTGGAATCGCAGCCAGCTGGTATAACGATAATAAGGACAATTTATTGTTCTGGGAAGAAGAAGGTAACCAAGAAGACAGTTTTATCCCGGCATTCACTAAATATTTCGCCACTACGGAACGAAAACATCATTGGCAATTAAAACTGACCTCACTTACCCAAAGCGAAAACGAAAAAGTAGATCGATACGTCTTCAAATTCAAAAGTCTCTTGAAAAGAGTTAATCCAGGCAAAGAAAAACCTGGCACTTATGTCATCAGAATGTTTATAGAGGCCTCCATGGCAGGACGGCTGCCTTAATGTCGGCAGAAGACTTTGACACCTTAGACGAAGCTATTGCCAAATCAAGAAAAATTGAAGCCAGCAATTACTATGAAACAAAGAAAAATAATGAACCTAATGAGAAACTTATCGATAATCTGACAAATAATTACAACAAATGGCTGTTAATTATGAAAAGTTAACCACCAACCTTTGCTCCCAAGCTGAGGTAAGCCCTCAATCGACTCCACTTAGGCAAAACCGATATCAACCCCGCCAAATAAGGAGTGAGGGTGTGAAATGTTATAATTGTGGCGGAAGAGGCCATATTGCCCGGAACTGTTATTTTAGGAGACACCCAAACTCTCAATGACCACCCAGGGACTCTTGCAGCTCTACTTTACGTACCAGAAATGTCAACTTATGTGACATTTATAGCGATAACCCTGAAGACGAGGCCTAGGTTATTAAGCGACGAGCAGAAAACGAAAGTCAATGGGATGATCGATTAAGGAAAAAGGTTAATGTTGAGCCTACCTTGATCCAACAACATTCACAACCTACTGCTATGGAAGAAATTGTTCCAGTTCAGTCCCAATTACAAACCAATACTAGAGTAAAATGAAAACGTGGGCCTTTAGTGGTTGATTCTGCATCTCCATATGATATTGCCAAGGACTTATTAGAGCAACGCGCCAATGTGACATACGCCCAACTCTTGCAAATCCCAAAATAAAGACATAATCTAGCCAAAGCCTTACGCCGCCCAACTATTAATGTGGTAGAAACCACTAATTTTACTGAGAATATACTTAACCAAAAAACTACTGCAGCTAAATGCTATGTTCGGGTCAATAATAACCCAATATTAGCAGTTTTGGACTCTGGAACTGCAGTCATATAATGTCAATGAAATTAGCTAGAAAACTTAACCTAACCATAACGGAGCCCTCTAATACCGTAGTCATTACCACCAATGGGGCTCGAGAGCGTGCTTTGGGAAGATTGCTAGGAGTAAAACTAGCAGTACAAACTGTTTTAATACTCACTGATTTTCAAGTAATAGAAAACCCAGATGAAATGATGCTCCTTGGAATGGATTGGTTCCAAAAGGTGTGTGCCCGATTATATTTTGACACACAAAAACTGTCCTTACGGTATTTGGGGAAGCAGATAGAAGTCCCAATCTACCAAGCAAAAGAAGAGAAAATAGAATCTCCTCTCAACAATGATAATGAAGGTGATGACTTCTTTGATCTGTATGAAGAAGAAAATGACCTAGAAGAGGTGAAAAGTTATTATACAGATGAAGCCGAAACAGAAGAAACAAATTGTAAACTCTTATAAGGTATTGAGAACTCCACAATATACTTAACAGACCTAGAGGAACTCCCAACGGTGGAAAGAAGTGACCAGCCTGAACTAACCTGCAAGGAAATCATTGAAGAGTTAGTATCATCAGAAATATTAAATGAAAAACAGAAAGAAGACGCAGCACAAGCCCTAAAAGGGTTTCAAGAGCTTTTCGCCACCGGGTTACACCAATTGGGCCAGTACCACGAAATTCAGCATAAAATTAATACCGGCAACGAAAGACCTGTTAGGCAATCAGCCTATCGGATTGCCCCGGATGAGCAGGACTTTCTGAACCAGGAAATCAAAAAACTGTTAGAAAATAAATTAATAGAAGAAGTAAAAAGCCCATATGGGCTTCATCTGTGGTTATTGTGCCGAAAAAAAATGGGAAACTAAGGTTATGCATTGACTATAGAAAGTTAAATGCTATAACCAAGAAAGATGTTTATCTGTTGCCACGAATAGACGAGCTTTTAGAGACATTTGGGAAGGCGGAGTGGTTTTCTTCTTTTGCCCTAGACAGCAGATACTGGCAGATAATGATAAAGAATGAAGACCGTAAAAAAACCACCTTTATAACAAAAAAGGGCACTTACACCTTTAACGTGATGCCCTTTGGCCTATACAATGCTCCGGCCACCTTTCAAAGGGCTATGAATCATACCTTACGCGAATACATAGGGAATTATGTGGAAGTATATCTAGATGATATAATCATCTATTCAAAAACCTTCCAAGACTATTTAAACCATCTTAATACCGTCCTAGCAACCTTAGCTGTAGCCGGGTTAAAATTAAACCCTGAGAAATGTGAGCTATTCAAAAATAGCATAAAATTTTTAGAGCATGAGGTAGGAAAAGCCGGCATCACCCCAGACGAAGATAAAATAGCCCAAGTCAAGAATTTTCTCATCTCGGTTAACTTAAGGCAATTAAGAGGCTTCATAGGCCTAGCCTCTTATTATCGCCACTTTATTAGGAATTTTGCCACAATTGCAAAACCTTTGCATCAATTATTGGAGAAGGACGTACCTTATTAATAGGAAACAGCACAGCAACAAGTCTTCGAAACATTGAAGACCCACCTCATTACTGCCCCGATCCTAAGATACTCTAACTTTGAAAGAACATTTTATCTTTATACCGACGCGTCTGGTATTGGATTAGGGACAGTATTGGCCCAAAAAGATGAAAACAAGAAGGAGTATGCCATTGCTTATGCAAGCAAAAGCCTTACACGCCCAGAACGAAATTATGCTGCCACAGAGCTAGAATGTTATACTGTGGTTTGGGCAGTGGAATATTTCCATTATTACTTAGAGTATAAACTATTTATTGTTGTTACGGACCATGCAGCATTAAGATGGCTTCACAATACCGCCCTTAAAGGGAGAAGAGCTAGATGGATTCCACGCCTTCAACTCTATAACTTCACAATCGTATACAGATCAGGTAGGGTCCATAATAATGCTGATACATTATCACGCATGGTTACAGACATACCTAGACAAGAAAATGGCAACCGCGAAACTGTTAGCTATTACATTATCAAAAAGTAGCAGATATGAGAAATGTTGAAGAAAATCACCAAGGTAAATTACTACCTGAAGAAACCAAATTCGCTGAATTTGAAGAGGTGGAAGTTTTCAGGGCAATTGCCCAAGAATACTTCCCCGAAGAAATTGATGAAGAAACGAAAACTATCCCTAGAGACCTTAATACGGAAGAAAGCGAATGGGAAAATTATGGCACTGATGAAAATGAAATTTGGGAATGTGAACTGGACGAAGAACTCACCACAAGTGAAGTAGAGCGTGAAAGGTATCTTCAGGCTCTCTTAATTGAATTGGCTATAGAAGCCGAAATAGAAATTACGTAGTCTACTCAAAATGGTTACCAATACGAGCCTGTAAGCCATAGTAATCAAAAGTTAGAAAAAGGGACAGTATCACACTGAACAAATCAAAACTAAACAGGTCAATAAATAAGCAAATTTGAATAGATTGGGGATTACGAAACCCAGTGGAAAAAAAAAGAAAACTCCAAATATAGATGAAAAGACCCATACAGATTGGTCATTGTTATCAAAATGGAATCTACGAAGAATTGACACTAGAAAATGCTTGAACGGCTCAAAGAAATTGAGTAGTAACCAAAAATACGAGACTATTAGCCAAAATGGATAAAGATGGAATTAATAATCTTGGAACCGGCTAACCATGCGAAATAATTTTGCAAGACACGAAGAAATACCTACCTAAAATGAATACCAAAGTTAAATCTAATGCTAAGCGAGAATTCTGACCAGGCTGTTGGTATCCTGGTACCAATAATTGAAAGGAAAAATACCAGTTATTAATAAGAATTCCAACGTAGGGTCTGAAAATATGAAGATGCGGTTAAATGGATTCCATTTAATAGATGTTAAAGAAATCGGTAAAGGAGGATTGGTTTCTGTATATTCAGCAACCTTGTTGGACAGCATACGGAAAGAAGCTGAAGTTGAACTAATAAGCAGTTAACTAAATTAATATCGATATAAGAAATTAACCGGGAATTATAATTACGTGATATCGTGAACAAAGTTCACGATTAGCAGAAACCCAACTAAATAGAAGTAAAGTATCAAGCAAGAAAGAACAATGGACATGACGAAATTTGATATGATTAAAGGCCAACGAAGTATAAGAGGGTTTAAGTGTAGACCAAGAATTCAAAGCTGTGGAAGGAAGACTTAAAATCCCCGAGAAAAGCTATACAGAGTAGTATTGATACGAGTAAAAGGCTTTTACCCAAGAAAATTGAAGGAAAAGCACGAAGGCAAATATCTACTTAGTCATACTACACATACAGAAGATATAATCGCAAGAAAAGATAAATAACAGATGGGTATTGATACCAAAACGGAGTTGGAGTCGATAACGAAACTCGAACATTAACGAAATTAGAAAGATTAATTGTTAATTAATACTCGAACTACTGAACAAAGCTAAAGTTTCAATCAACCTTAAATCTGACATTAAGCTCAATCCAGACCAGGTTGTCGGTATCCTGGCACAAATCAAAGCCAAGAAACTTGATTAACGAGACATTCAACAAATGGATCCACAATTATACACGGCACTAACCACGTATCTTCGATATCGACAATACCCACCACACTACGAAAATCAACAGTGCAGACAATTGGAAAAGCAAAGCCGATTCTTCCAAACTAAGAATGGAAGTTTGTTTAAGAAGAATAGAAAACCTGGCGGGAAGCTACAAAAAGTTCTACAAGAAGGAGAATTGAAGCTTATATTAAGCCTAGCACATGACCATCCGACGGGAGCCCACTTCGGGAAAGATATCATGTTTAATAAAATTCAAAGCTTCTATTACTGGCCTCAGATGTATCATGACATACGCGAGTATGTCAAGACATGTGAGAACTGTCAATTGCATGGAAAAAAGAGATCCAAGGGACTGCTACGCCCTACACCAGTCAAAGTCACATTCCATAGAATAGGTATAGATATTGTCGGACCACTACCTATAACGCCTCGATCCAATAAATACATAGTAGTCGTGACCGACTATATGACTAAATGGCCCGAGGCGCGTGCAATTCCTAGGGCTAACGCTAAGGAGGTAGCTAAGTTCATCACGAAGAGGTAGTATGCCGGCATGGTTGCCCCAACATTATACTATCCGACCAAGGATCACATTTCAACAACCATGTGGTAGATGAGCTTCTTGCGGTCATGAATACTGAATATCATAATTCTTCCCCGTATCACCCACAAACAAATGGGCTAGTTGAACGTTTTAACCAAACGTTATGTAAGGCCATTGCTAGATTAGTAACAAACGTGACAGACTGGGACCTCATAATATCGCCAATTTTATTTGCTTACCGTACAGCAAAGCAAGCCACGACCCATGAAATGCCCTTTTACTTGGTATATGGGAAGGAAGCCCAATTACCTGCATCCTAGTATGTCTAACGATTTGTTAAACGGAACAATTATCTAAAGGCTGTATGAGATCGACAACGATCTCCCACAAGCCCGTAAAAACGCATTACGCCAAGTCGGTAAGGAGCAACAAAAGCAAAAGTAATGTTCCTATTGAACCTAGGTTCAAAGTTCATGAACATATTCAAAGTTTTGAATAAAGAAAAAAGCATATAATCGCAAAGATAAAAATACTTATATCTCATGATCTACTGGACCAATTTTAACGTTTTAACCATCATTCTGTTCCCAAGACACTCCTCTACAACTTTACTTAAGCGTTGAAAAGAGGTTTACTTAGTAAAGAAAATGTTTTAGTTAAAATTCAAAACTTTTATTGTAAAAGAAACTTTTCAACTTTGGAGTTTCTCAAAGAAACATTTTTCTTTACTAAGTAAACCTCTTTTCAACGCTTAAGTAAAGTTGTAGAGGAGTGTATTGGGAACAGAATGATGGTTAAAACGTTAAAATTGGTCTAGTATATCATGAGATATAATTATTTTTATCTTTGCGATTATATGCTTTTTTCTTTATGAACTTTGAACCTAGGTTTAATAGGAACACTAAGCAAAAGGCACGTCATGATCAACAAGTCAAAGCCACAGATGACTTCAATATTGGTGACAAAGTGCTCATTCTTGAAGCCAGAAAATTGGGCACCCGTAGTCATAAGCTAACGCCCAATTGGAAAGGGCCGTACTATGTTCATGCTAAACTCACGAAAGGTGCCTACAAATTAAGAGAATTAAGTAGAGAAGTTCTTGCAGTACCTCTTAATAAAACATTGCTCAAGCCCTACCATGAACGAGAAATATAAATACCGCGAAAAAAGACAAAAAAAAAAAGAGAAGAGAAAAGAAAAAGATACATACAAAAAAAAAAAAACAACAACAAACATACACATATATCTCTCTTTTCTTTTAAAAATGGGTAATATAACTTCCGTTCAGCGAATTCAATGGGACCAATACAGCTTAGACCCTCTCGAAGTGAACCCAACGCCCTGTCTTGCGCCGGAAGAGACCAATCTTGATGCAAAAATGGCCATGATATTCTATCACCTTCTCAATGCGGTACGTTAGGGTGATAGAATAGAAAGTCTTGTTTATGCCTATTATCTAGGCTCATACTTTAACCAAGTCCCCGTACCGAGGCAATGGACTATTAGAAGTGTTGCAACCCGCCATTATCGCATCGCTGCCCTTCGAATTTATCGTGCTTTCTTTCGTTATGGTGGTGTAGAGCAGCTATACCGCACCACCTACACCACGCTTAGTAGAATCTGACATTTGAGTAATGCGGATTTCCATAGCATCTGCTAAGACCACATCCTCATAGTATTTGAAGTTAAGAAGGGGGAACTGTGAGAGGCGAATCTCACCTATATTATTATTATTATTAGATAGTGTCTGCCCCATTTCAATTTTTTTTTATTATATATTACATTATTATATGTTTTCTTTTTATCTTATCTTACCCGGGTCTCTTCCCTATATGGAAAAACCCATGTTATCCTAAACTTGATCCAAGGATCAAGTGTCCTTTTTAATTAGGCATTACGGCATTTTGGTACTATTAGCTTATTTCGTACCAACTTAATAGTACATTACGTACTTGAATGTAAAAATTGGTACTTCCCAGTACCACACCTTGCCTTTAGTACCGAATTATGTCATTTTAGCATAGAAAACTGCGTCAGACCACCCAAGACGCAGTAATTAAAAAAAGTACTTAAAGCGAATTTTCACAATTGAAATAAACTCAGTCCAGTTTGTGTGAAAGAAAAGAACTCAAGTTGAGTTAAGATATTGAAGACCTTGAAGTAGTAGAAGTCAAGTAGTGACTTATTGAAAATTGTTATTTTTCATCTGTCAGTTGTGAATTTCATACTTCTAAAATAAATCCAGTGTTATACATACAGTCTAAGTCCTGATACTTGTAAAAACTTGAATTATTACAAACAAGTAGCGTATAGAAAGAATCAGTAAAAGAATAATACTCATTATCCATTCTATATAGCTAAAATACCCGAATTAGGTCTAAAACCCATTGTTACCAAAAATCATCTAATAATAAGAGATACTAGTCTGTGACCTCATTATTACATATTAACTAGTTTGATCATCCAAAATTCCCGTGACGTACCAGTGACACATCAATTAATTAGAAATCCGATCTCCGTCGATAATTCTACCGTGACGTAGAAATTGATCACTGATCTAAGCCGAACATTGAATTACCGAATGACATAATCGTGATTATGTAACACGTGACCGAAACTAATAATACTTTTGAAGAATTGGAGAAATAAGATAATTAGTATTGGAATAATTGAAATACATTAGGATAGTTTATAGACCAAAGCAATAAGAAGACTTTAATATACTTTCCGAATATATCAACATAGGGTCAAGCTCTAAGAACTCGGACCAAGTTTCTCCACGCCTCTTTTTCGAAGCCTACCACCTTGGAGTACCACCTTATCGATTATTTGGATTAGTATAGTTTGTTAAATTAGTTAGTTTAGTAGCTAGTTTAGATTATTATTATAGTTTAAGGCCCGTATTACCCAAATACTTCTAATCCCGGATTAATTTAGTCCTTCTCAATGCTGATAACACAACCTTCATAGCATCAAGCAAGAAAGAACTGGAAGAAACAATCAATATAGCGCAAGAGTTTTACAAAATAAATAATATTGAAATCAACAGCAAAAAATCAGAGCTGCTTATAATAGATAGAAAAAAAAATAAAGAAACCTAGATATATAGAATTTGGTACACCAAGAGCAAAAGTATTTAAAAAGAAAGCAAGCGAGCTGACAAGATTTCTTGATATTTGGCTATCCAAAAAACATAATCAGTCATATATTAAAAGTATTGCAAAGAAAGAAATACAAGCAATCAGCATGGCAATCTATAAGAAGAACACCTCGCTAGCACAACTTATCTATATAAACAATAGAGTACTCATCCCAAGATTGGAGTACCGTTTACAACACTGCATAATTCCGAGAAAGCAATGTGACAAACTTCAAAGCCCCATTTTAAAGCTAATTAAAAATAAATCAGACTTAGCTAGCACTATGGCAAATGCAATCTTGGCATATAAAAACATAGTTGGCTTTAAAACATTGTGGCAAAATTAGATGGCCCATCATATCACAGAGCTAAGAAAATGTATAAACAAAA